AGACAATGACTTGTTTATACTGCTCTATATACTATACACTGAAATGTAAGTACAATATTTATATTCCAATTGATTTATTTTATAATTATATGGTAAAAAGAGAAAGTAAGCAATTTTTCAGTAACAGTTTCTGTATTTTTATGTCTGATTTTTGTAAGCAAGTAGTTTTTAAGTGAGGTGAAACTTGGGGGTATGCAAGACAAATCAGACTCCTTAAAGGGGTACAGTAGTCTGGAAAGGTTGAGAGCCTCTGTGTTAAGGTATCAGAGGGGTAGCCGTGTTAGTCTGAATCTGTAAAAAGCAACAGAGGGTCCTGTGGCACCTTTGAGACTAACAGAAGTACTGGGAGCATAAGCTTTCGTGGGTAAGAACCTCACTTCTTGTGTTAAGGTACAGGCTTCTATAACCTAAGGGCCACAACAGTGAATGTATGATATCCGTGAAACTGGGGATGGGCGTTTAGGACAGATAAATGGTGAGGAGTTTAAGAGTGATGGGTATTATTTGAAGTTTATGAGATTAAGAGACCTGGTAGGTTATGTGCAGTAAGATCATGAAGAGCATTAAAAATTAAAAAGGAAAAATCTTGCCCTGCGCTTGACTGGAACCAGAAAGTGAGTGCAACAATAGGGGGAAATGTGAAGATGTTTAGAATGTGTGACTCTTACGGTGTGGAGTTCTATAATGTGAAGTTTCCAAAGCTTGCAGGGAGGTCAAGAAGCATCAAGATTTATTTTTAAAGTCTCGTAGTTAATAAAATATGGCTAATAACCTTGAGTGGAGTGTTTTTAATACTATGATTTTTCTGAAGGCCAGATTGGAATTTGTCAAAGAAACTAAATTGAGACAGATGGGAAAGCAACTGGTAATACACAGCCCATTGAAGCAGACTTGAAAAAGACATGAAAGGAAACTTTTACATTAAAGGCATGAAAGTAAAATGTGAAGTATGATGATATTTCCTCTCAGAGGAATCTAGAATGGATTTCTTTGACTGGTGTAATGATCGCAGAGTTCAGCACTGACGGTATGCAAATTGGGCAAAGTGAACTCTTGATTAGACTTGATTAGACCAGGAAAGAATCCCAAGTCAAGGAAGAGTCAATCACAGTCATCATAGACAAAGTATGAAGAAGATGAGATATAGCCATGCCAAACTAACCCAGTCAGCCAAATGCATATTGGATGAAGACAAGGGAACATAATTTCTAAAACCTGAGAAGCTAAATAAAGAATGGCAAATGTAGTCATCTGCCAAACTGTGCGTTAAATTGAACTGAGCACCTGATTGTGGAAAGGTAAGAGTTTATAATGAATAAGAAGCAATAATTTAGGGGTCATCTAAAATAATGTGGGTAACATGGGAAAACACACCCAGTGATTAGCTCATGTTACAGCCAAAGGCCTGCCTGTGCCACTGAAATTAAAGTAGGATATCAGAGCTCTCAAATGCTTTATTCTAGTTGTGCGCCAGAGAGATACCCAGTTAGTCAACTAAATACTCAAAAAAAGAGTGGGGGGGGGAGAGAGAGCACATTAAAGGAACAATTAATGCTCTGAAAAATATATTCAGATTTATAAATATACATCTGACTTTACTTAATATGTTAAAAGGCAGGGTCCCTGTCCCAAAGACCCAATCTAAGTCATAGGGCAAAATATGGCTCCTATAGAACTCAACTGGAGTTTTGCCATTGTCTTCAATGGGATCAAGATTTTGCCTGGAGAGAGGAGATCTGTAAACAGAGGAGAAGAAAGAAACACGACTACTGTAATGAGCAGCATTTTGTGCAAGGGGATATGTTACTTAGGAAACTAGTGTTTATTTAACCTAGGATTATGCTGGCTTCCACTAACTTATTGCAGGACTATCTACAGGCCATCTTTTGAGGTAAGTCTATGTGAAGGCAAGTTTCACTGGCTCAAGGCACCAAACCCCTGGTTCGACAAGAAAGTAACTACTGCCAACCAGGGACCCAGCTTCAGGGGTTAGGTCATTAGCTTACAACTTGAGAGAGCTGGGTTCAGTTCCTTGCTCTACTATTGATTGCCTGGCTGGCTTTGGGCAAGTCACTTAACTTCTCTGTGCCTCAATTCCCAGTCTGTAAAATGGGGATTGCATCACTTCCCTACCTCACAGAAGTGATATAAAAATAAATACATTAAAGATTGTGCGTTACTCAGATGGTAGGCTGATGACACCCATAGAACTATCTTAGAGAGATGTTGCCCACAAGACACAGAGATTCTGTTTATTTGTCAGCTAGATTTTGTCAATGGTGTTCGTTTGGAGCTGCTCTCCCATTGACGTTGCATGTGAAAAAGCTGCAGTGTCTGTCCGCATATACAGCTGATGCAGAGAGGTGAAAATTGCACCACCGAGGAGTGAATGTTAGTCCTATGAGTTTAAATTCGAGTTCCCCTCCAAGGGAAATGACCAAGAGCATGGCCATCCAGTTGAGTATGTCCCTCCTGCTGAATCAATACTCTGGGATCCCTCTAGGTCTTGGTATAATTATTGTTGGGCTCCTTTTCCCTGGATGCCAGTGCTGGTATTAATTACCCAGCAGAACCTGTGGTCTAGGGCTAGGAATAGGAACCATGGAAATGGGATATAAAAATATTAATGCCATAGTGAGCAGCGGTATTAACTTCCATTGGGGAATTTCTGAGAGTTTGGTGTTGTGTACCATTCCTTGCCACTCCCCAGCAACTCTGCAAAACACCAGACTCTGGACAAGAGGGATATTACTGCTGAGATCCCTATATTTGTCCATCATCCATTCCATGAAAACACTATGTTTGTGTGTGTCAGGGGAGGGAAGGATGGCATGGCCCTAACTAGGAACAGAAACAGTTAGTAGATTGGCAACATGAGAAGACAATGACAAGAATAGGTTGAATATTGAGTGGTTAAAACAACAATGAACTCTTAACGCAACAAGAGCCCTGATAAGATGAGATAATATGACACCTTTAGAAATAATACCCAAACCCACTCTATCTGAAAATTTTACTATTTAACACACAATCAAAACAATCTCACTACAGTTAGGGCTGAAATGAAGGAAGCAAGGGGGGTGGTTATTTATTTAACTTTCTTTATTGCTATTGGGGCATTTAGTGCACTGAATGAGGTAAAACACATGTTGGGATAGGCATGTGTAAGACCCATGTATCTTGAAAGGTGTGTTGTGGGGTGTGCTGATCATCATAGCAATGGTGATATATCAGCAGGTTTCGCATCTGTTGTTCTGACAGGCTCTGGTGCCATTTTTAGTTGGTGTGTCCTGGTCTGCGGGGAGTTTCTGATAAGCTTGGAGAAGTTGGGGGTTGTTTGAAGGCCAGAAAAGGGGGGTCAGTAAAGGTTATTTTCAGGTTGTGGTCTCGGGGTGATACCACCAGTGTGAGGTGATAGGTGGCAACTAGGGGTCTTTGGTCAGAGGTGGTTTTATTTCTGTAGTGAAACAGATTCTCTCTGGATAGATGGATGGCCTATTCCATGAGGTGATCTACTTCTCTGGTGAAGTTTCCCTGTTTGTGAAGGTGATTGTAAACGTGTTGAGGTGTATATCCCAGAACTCCTTGGAGCATATTCTGTGGTATTTGAGTGCCTGATTGAAGATAACAGATTTCTTGGTGTATTCAGTGTATTCAGGGTGGTTACTGGATCTTCAGAAAGTCATGGAAGATGGAAGGGCAAATATTGTGCCAATCTATAAAAAGGGAAATAAGGGCAACTCGAGGAATTAACCACTCAACTTAACTTCAGTACCCGGAAAGATAATGGAGCAAATAATTAAGCAATCAATTTGCAAACACCTGGAAGATAATAAGGTGATAAATAACAGTCAGCATGGATTTGTCAAGAGCAAATATGTCAAACCAACCTGATAGCTTTCTTTGACAGGGTAACAAGGCCTGTGGATGGGGGGAAGTGGTAGACATAGTATATCTTGACTTTAGTAAGGCTTTTGATACTGTTTCACATGACCTTCTCATACAAAAACTAGGGAAATACAACCTAGAAGGAGCTACTCTAAGGTGGGTGCATAACTAGTTGGAAAACCATTCCCAGAGAGTAATCACCAGTGGTTCACAGTCAAGCTCAAAGGCATATCAAGTGAGGTCCCGCAAGGATCAGTTCTGGGTCAGTTTCTGTTCAATATCTTCAGCAGTGATTTAAATAATGGCATAGAGAGCACACTTATAAAGTTTGCGGACAATACCAAGCTGGGAAAGGTTGCAAAGGCTTTGGACGTTAGGATTAAAATTCAAAATGATCTGGACAAACTGGAAAAATGGTCAAATGCAAAGTACTCCACTTCGAAAGGAATAATCAGTTGCACACATACAAAATGGGAAATGACTGCCTAGGAAAGAGTACTTCGGAAAGGGATCTGGGGTCATAGTAGATCACAAGCTAAATATGAGTCAACAGTGTAACACTGTTGCAAAAAAAGCAAATACCATTCTGGGATGTATTAGCAGGAGTATTGTAAGCAAGACACAAGAAGTAATTTTTTTTATTCTACTCTGCACTGATTAGGCCTCAATTGGAATATTTTATCCAATTCTGGGTGCCACATTTCAGTAAAGATGTGGACAAATTCGAGAAAGTCCAGAGAAAAACAACAAAAATGATTAAAAGTCTAGAAAACATGACCTATGAGGAAAGATTGAAAAAAATGGGTTTGTTTAGTCTGGAAAAGAGAAGACTGAGAGGGGACATGATAACAGTTTTCAAGTACATAAAAGGTTGTTACAAGGAGGCGGGAGAAAAATTGTTCTTGTAAACTGCCGAGGATAGGACAAGACGCAATGGGCTTAAATTGCAGCAAAGGAGGTTTAGGTTGGACATTAGGAAAAACTTCCTAACTGTCAGAGTAGTTAAGCACTGGAATAAATGGTCTAGGGAGGTTGTGGAATCTCCATCATTGGGGATTTTTAAGAGCAGGTTAGACAAACACCTGTCAGGGATGGTCTAGATAATACTTATACCTGCCATGAGTGCACAGGACTGCACTAGATGACCTCTTGAGTGCCTTACAATTCTATGATTTTATGAGGTTAAGGCAGCCAGACATCAGGGTCCAGCTGCCCAAGAAAAGTGTCAGACACAGAGAGTGTGCCTGAGAGATCCAGAGGTAAGAACAATGACCACACACTGCCCAAGCCCAAGGGGTTATAAGCACTTGGGATCGAGCACTTGTGTCTGTGCAGAGAGGTGGACTGAGCCAGGCTGGAAAAAATGACATCTATTTAATCCATTTTGAGACCACAGCACCACCAAATAATTAAAAAAATCAAAATGCATATAAAATATTTATGCCTGTTAGACATTAAGGATAGGATTTTCAAAATGCCCTCAGCACTGAAAATCCAACTACAAAGGACTTTCAGAATTCCCTCAAGGTGTTCCAGAATTCATGGAGTCAGGAGACTTAGCTTCAGCAGTCACTTCCAGAGCAGCTTAAGACTCATTAATTTTTCCCTTGATACATACTTTTATACAACCATAATCAAAAAGCTCAACCTAAACATGTTTTGCAAGTGACTTAGTTTTTCACTGTGCCTTAGAAGTATATAAGATACTCCGAATTTTTAGGGAGTTTCTTAATTAAATTTCCCTGCCAAGAAAAAAGGAAGTTGATCTTCTTTGCCCAGTTCATCAGGGATCTGTTCAGAACTGGCAAAAGACTATTGTGTATGGAGTGTATAAATTAGAAGAATTCTTCAGCATCACTTGGACTCGTAGCTTATTTCCCCTTTGGTTGCTCTGCTAGTACAGCATGGACTCAAGAAATGTAGTTTCCAAACTTCCCTCTGTTAGTGTAACTTCAAGGTGATCATGTGTGATATAACAGCTCTGCCATGGGGATATGTCTGCATCCAGATAAAATACAGTTTTAATTGTGTAAGTATGGGGTCATTAAAGAGGGTCTTTCTCACAGAAAGAAACTTTTCCATATATGACTGAACAAATACATCTACTTTCTCACTTGTTTTAATTCCTGCCCCTCCACCCCTCAAATTTGCTTATAATCAGAATTATTTTCTTAGACAAGTTTCTGCTCTTGCAGTGAAGTCATCATTCCCTGCATGTGTTATCAGCTATTTCCAAGTAAATAGACCTTGGTGTTACAAATTCAGGAGGGGAATGAAGTATCAAACAGAAGGAGAAATGGGACCCTCAGGGACGGCAACCTTATTCAAATGCAAATATCCCCCAACAGCTGAAGACTAGAGATATATACAAGAAAAGTAATATCCTATACAGCTGTTCCCCTCGTTCATCTCTTTTGTACATCTTTACATTTCCTTTGATATTTACCTAACAATGTGGTTTCCATTTGTTTCAAAGAAATTAGTATGACTTTTTCTATTTTGCTCTGATACCTGTGGCCACCACTGTGCTATCTGGGTGCCTCATTTATCCTTATATCTGAATAAATTCATACATCAGTCATCTTTGCTAATTCAAGGAGTAACTCATTTGTCCTCAAACTAAATAGAAAGCTCTCACTGTCAGGGGCAATGTTGTGTTTATGATTTCTTTGCCACACTTTTCTCCAATTCATTCTCTATATTACCAGCATTCTAAGGGCAGGTGCAAAACAAGTAACAGAAGATGGATTTATCTTAGCTACAGCCTTCTAATGTACAATTAGTTGAAATTATGGCACCTGGGTACATAAAAGTTCTCTCTTCATCAGATCACTTCCTACGGCTGTTGCTGAACCTCAAACATGTATGGCTATTAATTCTCTTTCGAACTTCTAATGAAACATCTGCTGTCTTTTTTCCAATCTGGTGATTGAGATGTATGGCATGTTATAGAATATTAATAATGTTCTTTTCTTTTCTTGAATGAAGATCTTCCCTTTGATTCACACCGTTAAATAATCTTCTAATCTGTGAGCCAGAATGACAACCAATACTTTGGAAACAATCCTAAGCATATTGGTTGGGCTGATGAAGGGGGAAGTGGAGGACATTCCTTTGCTGGTTTATTTTTCTTTAGTATTAGTGTTACATTGGCTTGTCTCAAAGTCTGTAATAAATTGCTTTTCTCTCAGGAATTTGCAAATAATTTAGTTAGGGGATTGCTAACCATATGTATGGGTTTTTTTATTTTATTATTAAATCCTGGCCTGAATCCATCATTCTTTGAGCTATATTGTTTTAAAGATATTTGGCTGGCCTGTCACCAGAAGCAGAATATAATCAGCTTCTTTTCTTGGTTTTTGTTTCTTTTGGCAACGTAAGCAGTTTAAAAAGTTCTTAGAATGTCTGATATAATGTAATGATGAGACAAGTCAGTCGGTTAAGGTTTTTGATAGTACTCTTCAGTGATACTGTGTGTTTCTGATCACATCGTCAGGAAAATTGAGATGCTGCCCTTTTGGAAAATATGCACTGCTAAATGCCAATAGTGTGTGTATTTTAAAGTGTGATCTAGTCTAGTTACTACACAGTAAATAGAAACCTTTCCCCATTTTTTTTATGAAATACATGTTTGAATATTTGAAGTGAAGGATATCTATGAGGTTAGGAATGTTTTTCGAAGTGTCATGTGTGATTTCAGCCATTTTACTCATTAAAGCCTAACACAAGATACACATCAGAAATCCTTACAATATACTAATGTTAGGGTCAATTATTTGGGGATCTTTGGTTTCTATCAATATTTATCCAGTGAATCAATGAGAACTTTTAATGAAATTTTGGTTTATTTATCAAATTTGGCGAGTGGCAATATATACACGGAATGGCAGAAAGAATGTAATTTGCCTCTACTTCTTCCTGATATCAGCATTCTGTCAGGCTGCCAGTTTCATATCTATTACTATTTGTTTGACAGCACCCAAAAACATGCCAGGTGCATTGCAAAACATGCACAAAGATGCATTTCCCAAGGAGTTGACAGTCTAAATAGAGATAACATGATTCCAGAAGATGACGGCAAAGAGAGCAGCTAAGGGGCAGCAGAACAAGAGTTACAAACATAAGTTCATGAGCTTTCTTTGGAGGCTCAGTGAATGTCTGGGTGTGTGTTTCAAGCATATAAATTACGTACTAAAGGGGATGATTGAGATCAACAGGCAAGCAGAAGAAGGGTGTGAAGGGAGGAACAGAAAGTTGGGAAATAAATGGTTGGCAATTAAAGATGAGGGAGGAGACGAGGAAAAGAAGGATGGGGAGGAGCACAGAGGACAAGGAGGATCAGATTCACAGCTGGGGGAAGAATGTGGTAAATATTGATGAGTGGTGGAGAAGTGAGACCACACAATTGACCAACCTGTCATTGTGAAATATGCTAAGAGTCAAAGCAGAAGTTTGAAGAGCTTGATGATTCCATTAGGACGACAAAGGTGTGATCTCCTGCTGATGACAGAGAGAAAAGATGCAATGAACTGGGTTTTTAAGACTGTCACTGGAACTCATTCCACTTAGTTACTCCCTTCACGTTGGCTGAGAATTGGGAGGGAAAGGGGAGGCTGCTGGATTAGTGTTCCCAGGCAGCTCCCACATGAACTGGTGGGCAGAAAGCTGGACTCTGAGTAACAAAGATTCATGCCCTGCTGCTACTACTGCTAGCAAACATGTAGGTGACATTTGACTTATTTTAGTCATGCAAACAGTGTACGTGAAGTCACTGGGATTAGTAGCAAATAGAGCTGGCTGGAAAACAGAATCTGCTCTGAGGAAGATTCTAACATTTCAAAATGTTCTTTCATTCCAAATCAGAATGAAAATGTTAAATTTTGAAACATACTGTGAAATTTGCTGCAATTCTGAAATATTTCATTTTGGAAACACCAAAATGACCTTATTGAAACATTTTGTTTATATATTGAAATGTTTTGATTTGATGATTATTTGACTGGGGTGAGTTTGTTGTCTGTCTGTTGTGTGCTTGCTGCTTGTCTATGATATATACTGTGGTCTGTGTGCTGAGCCTAGCAGCCTTCTAGGCAAGGCTGAGAGCTTCTTAATGAGGCTTTGATCCTTAACCCCTTTAAGAACCATTAACTCTTAACCAAGGGGTGGGGGCTACTCAGGGAGAATAGGGGTTTAAAAAGCCACTTCCTAAGCAACCAGAGGAGCTAGCAAACAGGGGAGTTTAGAGTGGGAACATGAGAGCTAGGTACACTTATTAAACGTTCTCTAAACATAGGCCAATAACCACTTCCCGCGCTCCCCCCCCCAACAAAAAAAGCAGAGGAGAACAAAAGAATTCTGGCAGAAGTCCCGCAGGAGCAGGAT